AACTGATATAATCAAAAAGATTTATTAAAGGACACTATCTATATAATAAAAAGACTGCTTTCTAAAACATCATTGACATATTATGTGGTTCAAATCATTATGGCACTAGACCTTGGTTCCTAAATTCACTAATCAGTACCCTTAATATGTAACTACTACATACAAAATTTACTCAGTAGAAACACAATTAATGTTTGTATATCATGGATAATTATAAATTTTAAAATTCAAAGGTTCCAATGCCACTACTGAATTACTTTCCTTAAACAGTTAAATATGCATATATATCTAGCTATATTAAAGAACTGCACATGTAATTAATTATTCATATATAAAATTCTTCTCATAAAGATAGGTCTAAGTGTGTTAGTGCTGATATTACTTGGAAAGAAGTAAAAACTTTCCCTTAGCCTAGTAAGATTAGAAACACTAACAAAGTGAGGACAGAAAACAAGACCAATGTAATACTGCAGGCCAAACAGAATATAATATTCATATCGAGTTTTAAATGAATAGTCACATCAAAAAATGACAATATTCTGAAGTTGAATATCAAGAACTAAGGACTTATTCCTAGATACAGAAATTAATTACATACCTGGGTGATATCATTGTTATAAAGGACAATGGAAAGAGATTCAAAGTGAAAGTCAAACTGGAGAGTGACATCCTGATCCAAAGAAAGCTTTGAGTCTGGCAAATCTTGTTCTGATGGTTCAAATATAAACATGAAAATTGAAAAGCTTTTAAGTAGGTATATAATTTTATACATGTTTTAAAAAACAGTATAATAACTTATTATTCTAAATTTATATCATACTTCCTAGAATTCTTTAAGTCACTACAAGGCAATTAACAAAAATGGCAATGTATTCCATTGATATTTAGTACAGAGCAAAGTGACAGAACAACTATCTACATTGAAAAAAAAGAGAGGGCCTTGTAAAGAGTATCAAGACAACGTTTTTTTAAAAGCCCTTCCAGAGCAAGACTACTTTGTTATAGTTTATAATTATCAAAGCATGTCACTTAACTGGTTACAAGCCATTCTCAAGAGATTATGAAATCAGAGCAACAGAAAAGTAAAATACTTTGTCCTAGAACAGACAGCTAGTCAGTAAAAGACTGTCTGCTAGTGTAATGCACTCCTCACTAATTAAGTAACTTAATTAGGTAATTAAAAAATTACCTTTATCACCCAATCCATTACCTTTACAAGCAGAACAGAATAGAAATTAAAAGCAGAGTCAAAGAGAGTGCAAATACAATGTGGGACACAGGGTCTCTGGGATTCTGAGGTGAAGAGACTTTGAGAAGTAATTTAGACTTTTCCCTCATCTTTAGGCAGAAACTT